TCTTCATTCCTCCTCCAGAAGCAGGTTTCACTGAAGATGGCCACCCTGTGTGGTAGGATGGCTGAGTGCGGGCAGTTCATTTAAGGCGATTCACAGCACACCAAGTCCCTGCCAGTGTGGATTCTCTGGTCAAGTAGAGGAAATAAATATCAACTGACAATTAAATATTAATTAGTATTGAGGTAACAACACAAATCTCTGCATTCTTATCCATTTCCCCTATGTGCTATTTTGGAAGTTGCACTCTTGTTGGTTTGTTTGTTTTTGGTACCGGGAATCAAACTCAGTTCCTTGTGCTTGCACAGCAGGAGGTGAAACCACTGAGCTAAATCCCCGGCCCTGGAAGTTGCACTCTTATTTGAATGGTTCAAGCCAGAGATTTTGTAGCATGTAGTTATCAAAGTCCAAAAAATGTTAACATATTTAATGTCTTTTTTTTTTGAGACAGGGTCTCACTCTGTAGTTCAGGCTGACCTTGAACTCGTGTGTATCCCAGGCAGGCCTCCAGACAGTCCTACTCAGGTGCGCTCCACCATGCCTGGCCAGAGTCAGTACCTTTGCCTTTCTTTTGAGTAATGTAAGTCCTTTAACTCCTGACATCCCTTGACTTGCATTTTTAGTGTCCATATAAAAGTTCCCCCAAAACATTGACTTGTATTTAAAACTACCCACATATTTACACTCTTTCTTTGTCCAATATTGTTATATTTTGCAGTCACTATAATTTTTGTGTAAAAAATGGACATATCACCCAAAACATGGGTAGTACGTGGTCTGTCATTCTCTTTTGTCCCTCAGACCTGTTGTCTAGGGTCCTGTCCTTCAGCCTGAACTCTTTAGACGGTTCCTTAGTGAGGACCCCGTGCTGGTGAATTCTGACGGTTGTTTGAAAGTCTGTGCCTGGCCCCCATTCTAGAGATGTACTTCTGCTGGCTGTTCTGGTTTAGGCTGACAGCATCTCTTGACACACTGAAGCTGCCCTGTAGTCTTTTGACCTCTTATGGTGCTGTGAGGTCAGTCTTCTTACTTTTCCCTGTTGTGGCAGTAGTTTAGCAGCACATCTATTTCTTTTTTTTCCCCCAGTATGGGAATTGAACCCAGAACCTTTGCACTGAGCTACATCCCTTTTAATTTTACTTTATTTTAAGACAAGGGTCTTGCTAAGTCACTAAGTTGCCCAGTCTGGCCTCAAACCTTCTGGCCTTCTGCCTGAGCCTCCTAGAGTGCTAGGATTACATGAGTTCGCCACCATACCTGGCTGGACACGTAACGTTTCTGATCCAAAACTCTTTCTTGTCTGCATAATTAAAACTTTGATTATTAATTTTGGGGGGGGGTACCAGGGATTGAACCCTTAATTTTTCAATTCTTTTTTTGTTGTTGGAACTGGGGATTGAACCCAGGGCTTTCCTATATGATAGGTGAGCACTCCACTGAGCTGCTTTCCGGGTGTTCATTTTTTTTTTTTTTTTGGTACGGGGATTGAGCTCAGGTCCTTGTGTTTGTGATGCAAGCGGTGGAACCACTGAGCTAAATCCCTGGCCTCTATACTGCCGTTTTTATTATACTGTGAACAGTTCACATTGTACTGTGAACACTTTCTGTGAATATTAAATATTATTTTTATGCTTGCATAAGTTAATGATACTTTGCTTTAATTGTATTTGGGCATTGTCCTAATTTCAAGTTTTAGCATGGAAAAGTCTGCAGTGATCATTTTTGGATTTGATTTTGTGCGTTAACTTCTGGTTATTGTTGAATACCATCCCTGAGGGTGTGAGTGTTCTCCTGGGGCCTGCAGTTCTTCTGGCGCCCAGATTCAGGTTGCAAGGCTGGGTCTCCACTTGGGAAGTGCTGGATTGTTTAGGGACCCTTGAGGAACTTGCAAAGCCTAACGCCATTTCAGGAGTTGCATAAAGGTTGAGCTTGTTTACATGTGGAAGTCATGGTCAAGAATGGGAACGGGAACATAGGCAGCACTGCAAGGACACTTCGGATGCAAGTGGCAGGGCAGAGGAGGGAGGAGAGGGAGCGAGCATGGGGTCAGCTTTGCTCCCTGCAGACACTCCTGCCTCTTGGTGGGGACCGATGACTGGGTGATTTCCATTTTCTCTTGGGAAGTTCTTACTCAATCCTCTTGAAGCTTCAAGGTTTTTTTCTTATCAGATAGGCTCTTGCTGTAGTTCAGGCTGGCCTTGAAGTCCAAGGTCTTCCAGCCTCAGCTTCCCAAGTGCTGGGACTACCGGCATGGGCCACCATGTCCACCTGAGGCTTGAAATTCTTGTTAACCTTTTCCATCTGACAGTGTTCAGTAGTTGCTGTGGCTTGTCCTGCGCCTACTCCTTTGGGTAGTCTCCAGCCTTCCTGAATTCCCCGTTGTATTCCCCGTGTCCGGGCTGTGCCAGTTTCCCATATTTCAGCACAGACCCTGTTGGGGGCATCCCGTCCTGCTGTGGAGTGCACTGCAGTAGCACATCATCTCACTTTACTCCAGCCCCGAGATCTTTGTCTGGACACCCATGACAGAGCATGGAGGGGACCATGTGGATTGAGATACAAGGGACATGGAAGCCTTCCAGGAGCAGCAGAGCACAGGTGTGGGGCCCAGGACCCACTTTGGAGAGAAAAGGCCACAGTTTCCTCTTCTCAAAAGAGCTCACCAGCGAGGGTGACTAAAGACCAGGATGCCACCTCATGCAGGCTGAGGCAGGAGGATCACTGCAAGTTCAAGGCCAGACTGGGCTTCCTAGTGAGGTCAAGGCCAGTTGGAACTTCATAGCAGACTCTGTCTCAAACAACAATGACAAAACAAGAAAGACAATGTCTTTGTCTTGTCAGGGTCTTGTCTTTTCTGCCCTCCCTTTTCCACCTTGCCTTTAAAGCTCCACCTGTGATTTCCAAACTTATGGGCTTGCTCTGTTTTGTTTTGGTGGTACTGGAGATTGAACCCAGAGCCTCCCAGACTGAGCTACATCCCCAGCTCTTTTTTGTCTTTTAGTTTCAGACAGAGTGCAGGCTAGTCTCAAACTTGAGATCCTCCTGCCTCAGCTGCCTAACCATGCCTGGCTTCCAAGTTTGTGTTTTTCAAAGTGTATTCCCAATGTTATATGGATTCATATGAAATTTTGCTGATCTTTTGTATGCCTTTTTCAAATGTATGCGTGTAGAGAGAATGAAATGCCAAGGACTGTGCTGAGCACCGCAGTGCCTAGGTGGCCCCACGGCCCAGCCTGTGCTCTCCTGTAAGCCTTCAAGTGTCTTCTGCACAGTTCCTTCAGATGGACTTCACTAGGCATACTTCTTTTTTTTTTGGTACCGGGGATCGAACTCGGTCGGGTCCTTGAGCTTGCACAGCAGGCGGTGAAACCACTGAGCTAAATCCCTAGCCCCAAATTTTTTTTTTTTTTTTTTTTTTTTTTCCGGGAATCAAACTCAGGTCCTTTGCTTGGGGCAGCGGGCGGCGAAACCACTGAGCTAAATGCCCAGCCTGCTAGACATACTTCTTAAAGTGTGCTGTGAAGTGTTTTGGATCTTTGGAGAGAAACAAAGAATGCTAAGAACCACTGTGGGCAGGGGATCAACTTCCCACCATACACCTTTGCACATCTAAAAGCTTGCAGTCTGTTTAAAGTAGTCCTCTGTGCTCTGGGGAATGAATGGCTGTCACATTGCTCTACTGTAAAAAATCAGATCACAGTAGACAGCGCGGAAGATAGAGGCAGGAAGATAAATCTCAAGCCCTACAACACCAGCTCACTGCTTGAGGTCGGCAGTTTGAAATCAGCTCTGGAGTGGGCGGGCAGCCCCATAACCTGAGCCTTGCAGGAACACAGGCCCCTCCAAGGACAGTTTGGAGCCCTGGGATGTGCTGTACCTCGTGTTTCGTGCACAGCGAAAATCTTTTTTTTCCTTCATTTTGAGAAGAGGAAAACGTAAGTTTCTGAACTGAATGCAGAGAAGGATGCGGCCTCAGCCTGCAGATGCTCAGGCCCAGGCCACCAGGGCTGCACACAGTGAGGGCGACAAGGAGGGAGGGAGAGGTGGCTGGCAGAGGTGAGGTCTGGGAGCCTGAATTCCTGATTCCCATCTCTGCGGTTTGTTGGCTGTGCAGTCTTGGGTGATGTTCCTCACACTGAGCCTGTTTTCTTGTCAGTAACTCGGGGTCTTTCAGCACCTGCTTCATTAGGTTATTGCAGGGTGGAAGAGAGAGAAGAGCTTAGCATAGTTCCTATGTGCTGTCCATTTTTCATTATTAATGGAGATACTGTAATAATATGTATTTTGTTTGTTTGTTTTTAGAGACAGGGTCTTGCTATGTACCCAGACTATACTTGAATTTGCAGTGATCCTCCTGCCTCAGCCTCTCAGAGTGCTGAGATTACAAGCATGAGCTACCATGCCCAGCATAGTTGCTAAGATTTTTTTTTTTTTCCCCACTAACTGGGATCAAACTCAGGACCTTGCACTTGCCGGACAGGCGCTGTGACGCTGAGCTAAATCCGCAGCCCAGTTACTAAGATTTTAAGGATAGGGAACAGAAAAAGGAAGAGCTGAGATGGAGATTCTGGGGAAGATGATTTCCACGTGGCTAGGCTGGGTTCCCAGTGGCTGAGGGCAATGTCCTCAGCAGAGTGGAGAGGACAGACGTGGCCCCCCAGCCTGCCTTGTCACTGTGCTGCTGCAGGAACTCTGTTCGCTCCCGAGGCTGGCTCCTGCTGTTCTTGGTCGCCCTGGGTTGATCCTGTCAGAGATCTCCCGGACTTGGGGCGCTGGCCTTCAGCTCCCCAGCTGCCTGGCCAGCGGGAGCATACGTGTGCTTTCCAGCCAGTTGCAGGTCCTGTGCTGAGCCCTGTGTGGGTGTGAGTGTGAGTGTGGGTGGGGGCCCGGGTGGGACTCCTGCCCTCCCTTGGCCCCGGGAGCCTGTCCGCCTCCCTCAGCCTGAGGCCGGGCGTCACACTGGGTTTCTCGCCGGCTGCCTCACGTGTGTCTCCTCTCTGCAGATCACCAATGCCGTGGTGCTGCTGATTTTGCTGAGCGCCCTGGCCGACCCGGATCAGTACCACTTCTCCACTTCTGAACTGGGAGGGGACTTGGAGTTCATGGATGATGCCAGTAAGTGTGGGTAACAACTGTGGATATTTAGGAATTTTTCAAGGACAGGAAGGGTGGCTGCTGTCCCTCCTATTAGAGTACAAATATTGATTCATGGTCTCTTCTTTTTTTTTTTTTTTTTATTTGGTACCGGGAATCGAACTCGGGTCCTTGTGCTTGCGAGGCAGGCGCCGGAACCACTGAGCCAAATTCCCGGCCCTTCATGGTCTCTTCTTTCCATCGTTACAAATCAAACAAAGGAATATTTGCACACTGCTCACGTTCTCCCTCTGATCTAAGAGTCTAGGCAAGGCCTAACACCAGCTTACTGCTTTTTAAGTGATTGTTGTGGCATAGACTTCACCCTGGGTGCTTGGCCCCTCAGGCGAGGAGGTGGTGGCTCAGTCACTGCCTTCTCCCCTGGAGGCGGCCAAGCCGCTCCTGTGCGGAGAGGGCCAGGGTTGCGAGTGCCCTGGTGAACGAACTGGGGACTCTTCCCACAGACTGACTGTGTGCCGGCGCCCCGGTGGCCCAGGCAGGAGGGCATGCATTGTTCTTCCTCACTGGCTTTGGGGCAGTCCTTGGGTGTGAAAATAGTGTGGCTTGAGGGCAGGTGAGGAGGAAAGAGCGGCTGGGGGCAGAAGTGGAGTTCGAGGGACGCCGGGAAAGTTGGAAGACTCAGGAAGGCTGGACGTGTGCCCTTGGCGGTCCACAGCGTGTGAGAGAGCTGGCAGACTGCTGAGTGCTGCGGGGGGAGGGGTCAGAGCCGACCTGTACCTGTCTCACCACCGGGGTGAGGAAGGCTCGGGTCGGGGTGGGAACATGCCTGGGCGAGGAAACCAGCCCCTTGTTTTGGTTCACATTAGGGATTTTTTTGTACCCAAGCCTTTACACTGAGCTTTGATTTCGGCCTTTCAAAATTTTTTATTTTGAGACAGGATCCCATTGTGTCACTAAGTTGCCATAGCTATGTTTGAACTAGCAATCCTCCTGCCTCAGCCTCCCAGAGTGCTAGGATTATAGCTAGACTTTTCAAAGTCATCTTACCCACACATCCTTGATAGGTAAGTAGCTCAAGCCAGAAGGCAGTTTGAATCCTGGCCCCGCCAGGTTTAAATGTGCTACCCTGAGCGAGTTACTTTTCTGTGCCTTAGTTTCCCCTTCTGAAAGAGAAAATCATAGTATCCACCTAGATGCTCAGTGTGACACAGAGCTGTTACCATGGAGATGGGGGAGTGCCCTTCAGGGGAGAAATGGGACTTCTCAGGCAGGAGCCCTGGGAAGAAGTCTAGACTGCAGAGTACAATTGAGGACATCAGCCTAAAAAGTGACATTTGTGTTAGGGAGATGGGACGAAGGAGTCTCAGTCCCAGGATTGAACCTGAGGCTGAGCTAACGGGGGGGGGGGGCAGCTGAGGACTCAGTGCTTTGTGTCCACCCTCCTCCTCCTCTACATGGGTGTTTCACAGCAAGGGTACAGGACCCGGGACCATGTCATCCCGAAACAGAATTCTGCCAGACCCTTCTTATTCTCTATTCTGAATAACCCGATTACCCTTAGGAATTCGTCCAGAAAGGATGATGAGTTTCATTAATATTAAATTAATAGCTCTCTGCCTTTCTTCCCCTGAGTTTAAAGCCTGTACAAGCTACACACACAATCTTTTATTTTTTATTTTTTTATTTTTTTGGACTGGGGATCGAACTCGGGACCTTGCGCTTTCGAGGCAGGCACCAGAACCACTGAGCTAAATCCTCAGCCCCTATCTTTTATTTTTTTTACACACACAATCTTTGATTGATATTTTTTTGGGGGGGTGGTTTTGGTACTGGGGATTGAACTCGGGTCCTTGCACTTGCGCAGCAGGCGGCAAAACCACTGAGCTAAATCCCCAGCCCTGACTGACATTTGAAAATAAATTCTCTTTCATGATTTCCAGGATGAGGATTCTTTTCCTAAGGTAGCTGAGGTTAGAAAAAGAAGTGTTAAATGACCCCCTGCGTGGCTCTGTCCTGGTCCAGTGAGAACACGGCAGAGCTCAAGCTGCTGCCTCTGTGGGCTGCGTGGTGCTTGTTAGGACTTGAAAATACTAATTCATAATGTCCTGGAGATGAATTCCAGTGCATGTGAGGTTTCACTTGTGTTTCACATACTTGAAAAGATTGAATGAGCAGTTAGTTTGTAATTACTTTGAACGCTTTTTGTTTTTTTTTAATGATGGTTCTGAGAAGTGAACATCTCCTGCCTACCCCCCTTTTTATTTGGGGTCTCCCTAAGTTGCCCAGGATGGACTTGAAGTTCTGATCCTCCTGCCTTAGCCTCCCAGAATGCTGGAGTTGTCAGCATGCACTACCGTGCCTGGCTACATTTTAATAGTTTGAAATCAGAATAGTTTTAAGTCAGCATAGATTTAATATGAGGATCATTTTTTTCTCCAGATCTTGAGTGTGTGTGGGGGGGAGGTACTTGAGATGGAACCCATGGCCTTTCCATGAGTTACATCCCCAGCCTTTGAAATTTAATTTTATTTTTATTTATTTATTTATTTGGTACCGGGGATCCAACTCAGGTCCTTGCGCTTGTGCAGCAGGCGGTGAAACCACTGAGCTAAATCCCCTGCCCTAAATTTAATCTTATTTTGAGGGAGAGTTTTGCTGCGTTGCTTAGGCTCGGCTGGAAGTTGTGATCCTCCTGCTTCAGCCCCCCAGAGTGCAGAGATAAGGAGCAAGCACCAGCTCTCCTCCAGAACTTAGGATTGAAATGTTAAATCTTTCGGGAAAGTTGCATGTACAGTGAAACCAGCCTTACTTTTTCATTAACAATGATCTGTAGTTCCTCATCCTTCATAGAATTATCTCTTACTAAATATTGAGTAGGTACAGAACAATATTTATAAAATACACCAGATAGTTGGTACTGCAAGCACTTGTGAGCCTGCCATGCCAGTTGGTTTAAGAAGTTGAATTTTACCTCAATTTCAGAGCTCTGGCTACCTCTTTCTGATTGCATTGCTTCCTCTGCTCAAAGAGAGCTGCTTTCTGAGTTGTCCTGCCTTTTCTTTATACATTTACCACGAACTTTGTACATCTAATTGATCTATTGCATAATTCTCCCAAGCTTGAGCTTTGTAGAAAGTGCTCACGGACGGGGTGCATTCTCAACATTTGCTTTCTGGGTTGCAGTGTGTTAGAAAAAATGAGTCAGCCGCTTGTTACAGATGGTGCAGGTCATTCCGAAGGGACCCTTGGGTGGGGTTTGCAGCTGGGAAGGTGGGGCAACTCCCAGCCCGGCCAGTGGGGGGTGGAGATTTATTTGTAGCCAAGGAGTAGCCATGGGTCATTGGCTAGAAAATGACTAAGAGGGAATCTTGAAAGGGGGAGGGAGCTCTTGCAGTATGGATTTGGCATGTTTCTTGCTGAGTGCAGACCGGTGTGATAGGGTAAATCCAGGGAAAGATAAATGGAGGGATTTGAGCAGACACTGAGCATGATCAGATACCTCCTAGGAGGAGAACTTCTAAAACTGCCTTAGGAGGCTTCTTGGTCAAACTGGACCAAACAGAACAGGAACAGAGCCCAGGGTTGGCCCAGTCACAGAGAAGACTCAGCTGCCTGACCCAGTACCCACCTGGGAAGTCCGAATCCACTGCAGTCTGTGGCTGCAACATACATCATGCTCTGCAGGTTTGTTTCAATGTGTGATAAGCTCAGGCCTGTCCTCTAAGAAATGTTCTAGCCTGGTGCAGGGGCACATGCTTGTAATTCTAACACTCCGGGAGGCTGAGGCAGGAGGTTTGAAAGTTCCACCCCAGCCTGGGCCACTTAGTGAGAAGACCCTGTTTCAAAATTTAAAAAGAAAATAAATGGCTGGGCATTGGTGGTGCACGGCTGTAATCCCAGTACTCAGGAGGCTGAAGCAGGAGGATTGCCATGAGTTTGAATCCAGCCTAGGCTACATAGTAAGTTCAGGCCAACCTGAACTAAATAGCGAGACCCTGACTCAAAAAAATTAAAAGGGGGCTGAGGATGTAGTTCATTGTAGGCCCTGGGTTCAATCCCCAGCGCTGCCAAAACAACAAAGAGAAATGTTCTGCGCATTCTTGATAATTTTGCTTTTTCTTTTGTGTTTAGCATCAACTTGTCCAGTTCACAGGAAATCCTTTTGTAAATTCCTGACTGTTAAATTTGACAATTTTCCATTTTGTGTCTTGTCTGTGACATCTTTTTATATGTCGTAAAAGGTACCCTTTTAAAATATACAATTCAAGAATCGTTAGTAAATATGCAGCTTGTATAGCACTTTGGAAAGTCCCCTTACACCATATGGTTTCCAGTGTTTTGGGTCTTCCTTGGTTGAGTGTCCAGTGAGTCCATGGAATTTTTCCATGTAGAATATGGGTTTTTTTTTTAACTAAGTTTATTTTCCTGAAGTCCAGTCATACAGCTTGGTTCCCTACTGAAAATGATCACAAAAATGTTTATTGGTTTTTCTACTATTGAAGAACCTTTATGAAAGTTAAGTAAATATAAATACTTAAGTGTAAGATTGTAGCTGGCAGGAGCTAATCACTTTATCTTCGAGAGCAGAGAGAATCTCCAAAATTGATGTTTAAGTATATTTATTTATGTATTTGTTTGTTTTTGTTTTTGTTTTCGGTACCGGGGATCAAACTCAGGACATTGCACTTGCAAGGCAGGTGGCAGCACCACTGACCTAAATCCCCGGCCCTAAGTATATTTATTTAATAAGCTAGCCCTTCCCTTTTTTCCTAGCTCCTCTGAAATCCTCAGGCGCTCCAGCATGAATGAACTGTGAAAACCAAGTGGATGCAAGGCCACATAGCCTGCAGAATAGGCAGCTCCTCAAAGACAGGAAGGAGGTCTGGGTCGTCAGGAACAGGGTGACTGCTAGAGGCAATAGGGGATTCTTTTTGCAAGGGTGAAAATATTCTGCCACTCATGGTTGTGCAGCTTTGTGAAGATACTGAAGAAAGCCATTGGCGTGTACATATTAAAAATGATGAATTTTGTGGTACGTGAATTATGAGGGATGGGAAAAAAGACTCAACCCACATATCAAAGACTTTGGTAAATTCTTCATTCTTCCTTTGGAGGAAAAAAATGCGGTCCCCTCTGAACTCTCCCTCCTCCTTTGTTTGCTCCTAAATTCCTGTCTTCCTTCCCTGCTATAACTAGTAGCTAAGCTTCTGGATTCCAAGCTCTGCTGTCCGGTAATCTTCCCAGTCTCCTCACCTTGTTGTTGGTCTTAAGTTATTTTGTGGGACATGGGAGGTGGCCAGGGGTCTGAATCCGCCAGCCCACCTTCAAGAGTACAAGCAAAGGAGCTGGGGATTTAGCTCAATGGTTCTGCCGCCTGCCTCGAAAGTGCAAGGTCCTGAGTTGGATGCCCAGTGCCAAAAAAAAAAAAAAAAGTACAAGAAAATCCCAGAATTGGCCGTCATGGGAGGGCCATTTGGGATATATTAAGTGAATTCAGTGTGGTTAGTAGAATCATTTATAAGAATAGTATATTTTGAAAATTTCCTCATCTCAATTTCTTTTTTCAGTACTGAGAATTGAACCCAGAGCCTTTGCACTGAGCCAGTCTCCAGCCCATTTATCTATCTATCTTGTCTATCATCTATCTATCTATCTCTCTATTTACTTATTGGTACTGGGGATCGAACTTGGGTCTTTGCGCTTTCGAGGCAGGCAGTGGAACCACTGAGTTAAATCTCCAGCCCTTCAGCCCTTTTATTATTGACACCACCATGCCTTGCTTCAGGTTAATCTTTTCATGGTAAATAGTGTCTTGTGAGTGGTGGTAGTGTCACCAGACACGGTCTGAGGATGTTCCTCAAAGATGGGGAGCTCAGTGTGCCCCACTGATGGGGTAGTTTGTAGGTTCCCTGACTACATCACAGAGAGGAATTACAGGACACCGGTGAGAGGCAGAGTTACAGAGGGCACAGCAGGGCCCGCTCCTTGGTGAGGTGCATGAGAATTGGGCCAGGATGTGTTTTGGGGTGGATATCTGTAGAGTTTGTGAATCTGTAGAAACCTGGCACCCAATTTACAGTTGAGAAGCAATGAAGGGGCATGATCTACATGTGAAATACAAAGAAGGGACTGTTCTACAGACTGTGGGTATTTTAGGCTTTTAGGAATATTTTTGGGGTGCATTTCCTAGAAGGAGAAAAATTTTGCAATCTTGGATAACTTTGTGTCCTGAAGTTGCAGCTTTCCTGAGTACAATTTTAAAATTAGTTTTAATCTTTTTTCTACCTGCATTTATATCTTCTACTTCAAGAACATACTTTAAAAAAAAATTTATGCCTTTTAAATTTCTTTGAGTGTTATATCCTTTAGAAAAGATAAATTTAAAAATTTAAAATTAGGATAAAACTGGGGAGGTGGCAAATACCTGAAATCCCAGCACTAGACTGAGGCAGGAGGATCGCTTGAGTTTAAGGCCAGCCAGGGATACATAGTGAGTTCCAGGCCAGCCTGAAATGCATAGTGAGACCCTGTCTCAAAAAGAAAACCACAAAGCTAAGATTAAGTGAAATTTAGTTCTGGAGGGTTTTCTGTGGCTGGGCTCCTGGTTCCTGGTCAGACTTCTTGGGTCGAATAAATATCTCAGGCTCCACTACTGGGCAGTCCTGGGTAAGGTCCTTGTCCCATTTTTTAGTTTCCATCCTCACCTCACAGGGTTGTTGGAAGAATTAAGTGGGGTAACAGTGGCTGCTTTACTGGGGAGAAATGACACTTAGAGATGGGACAGGAGAACGAGGGCCGTGGGCATCTGATGTGGTGCTGGCTCCATGCAGGAAATCCAAGCCGCCCAAACACAGATGCAGCCCAGGTATGAATCTGTGTGATATGCCGTCAGTGCGGGCAAACAGACTCCACGTTTGAGGAGTTAAGTCACTCAGCCTTAGGTTTTGCATGTGAAATGAATTGAAGCTTATCCTCCCCATTGACCCAAGAATAATGTGAGGCTGAGTAAGCATTAAAGTTATAAAATAAACTAAAATATGTATGTCTCTTGAAGAGGGCATACTCTTCTAAGTAATGAGAGGTACTGATTGTCTTCTGATCCTGTCTTACCTTGCCTTTTATCTTCCTTTTGAGTCTCACCTATTCACCTTTTAAGAGTCAGCATCTTCACGCATCGTTAGAATCTGTAGACTCATTTAAGGAACAGTAACATTTTAAAGACGGCATCTGGGGCCGGGGATTTAGCTCAGTAGTTCCGGTGCCTGCCTTCCAAGTGCAAGGTCCCAAGTTTGATCCCTGGTACCAAAAAAAACAAAGAAAAAAAAGACGGCACCTGCATTTCTGACCTCAAATGTGCTTTGTACACCTCTCGTTTAAAATGTTTTCTCATCCAGTACCGGGGATTTAGCTCAGTGGTACTGCACCTGCCTGGCAAGCACAAGGTCCTGAGTTCAGTACCTGGTATGGGGGAAAAGTTTTCTCAACCCTAAAGCTGAGGAATCAGAGCGGGTGGCTGTAAATCTAACATGCTGGCCTTGGAGAAAAAGTGACAGGAAGTTCGGCCCAGATTGGTCTTCGGGTAGTTAGGGTTGGAAGCAGCCTGGTACAGTGTGGTAGGAAGGGCCAGGGATTCGAAGTCACAGCTCAATGTGTTTTTTTTTTTGTACCAGGGATCACACTTGGGACCTTGCACTTGCGAGGCAGATGGCGGAACCACTGAGCTAAATCCCCAGCCTGCTCAATCTTTTGATGCAGATGCTATCTTAGAAATTTATATGGCCTCTGAGCCTTAGATTTATAATTTGTTCATAACACCAATAATATCTAATCCAGTCAAGAAGATGAAACATTTGTAAAAAATGCCTTGAAAACCATCAAGCACTGTTCAGATTCTTTCCTGAATGGGTCTCGTGCTCACATATGTTGCCCTAACCATACTGTACTTGTAATCAGAATCTCCTAGCTGGGTGTGGTGGTACACACCTGTAAATCGAAGCACCCAGCAGGCTGAGGCAGGAGCACTGCTGCAAGTTTGAGGCAAGCCTTTATTACATAGTGAGACCCTGTCTCAAATAATTGAAAAAAAGAGAGACTCTCTTAGATGTATAGACCTGAATAAACAAATGTTCAGTTAGTGCCTACTATGATGTATGCATTGTGCTAGATTAGCCCTGTTCAATAGGAATATATTGTAACCACATAAGTCACAACAAAATTTTTTGGTAGCCACATTAAAGAAAGCAAAGAACAGATGAGATTAATTTTAATTATTTAACTCTGTATATCCCACATAATAACCTTACTATAAAAAGGTTGAGTGTGACGTTTCACATTCTTTTCATTGTACTAAGTCCTTGAAATCTGGGGGCATGCTCATTTTTTGCTCATCTCAGTTCACAGTGACCTATCAAGTCCTCAGTGCCTCCCTGCAGCTCAAGACCACTGTGCTTGTCAGTCCTCAGCTAGCTGAGGTGGCTGTGGTGGGGAACAAGATGAAGTCCTTTCTGCCAGGAAGGTCACTCTGCTGGAGGGAAACAGACAGTACACAAGTAACAAGTGGAAACGACCATTGTGATCTGTGCTGTAGAGATAACATCACAAGAAGGTGACTGATTGCCAGGCTGTGGCAGTAGAATATTCGGGGAGCTCTGAGTGCTGACATTGGAAGCTGGAACCTGAATGATTAAAAAGGGGTGCTGAGCTGGTGACAATATGGCTGAGCTGCTCTTAGTCAATGGGATCTGCAGGTGCAGAGCCCCATGGTGCTGTGATCTTTTTTTTTCTTTTCAATACTGGAGATCAAACTCAGGATTTTTTTGGTTTATTTTGAGACCTAGTCTCACTTTGTAGTTGAGTCTGGCATTGAACTCACTATGTAGCACAGGGTGGCCTTGAACTTGTAGTGATCCTCCTGCCTCAGCCTTCCCAAGTACTGGGATGACAGCCGCATGCCTCCGAGCCTAGCCAGTATGTGATCTTGCTGTGGGTGATGAACTGAGTGGAGCTGCTGGGCTGTGCTGAGCAGGGCTAGAGAGGCAGGCACACAGTGAGCAGGCCATCAAACCGAGCCCAGAGGAGCTGAGAAGCCATGGAGAGGTTTCAGTTAGAGCCCCGAGGTCCACGTGAGTTTATGAGATATAAGTGAGGCACTTGTTGAACTCTAAAAAAAATCTAACTCATTATTCTGTATATAATTTATATGTATATAGTAGGTCAGAAGGCCAAAGTTATTTTGACATTTGTAAACAACGTGTCTTTCCTGTTTTCCTAATCTCTTATTTACAGTCGTTTTTATGTCTTTGGAAGAACATCTTTTGGACACTTTACGTCCATCAACTATCATCTACTCAAAAAAACTGGCGGTTTACTTAGCATAAAGTTTTCACTTACAATTGATGTATAAACAAAATGGCTTTAGGGAGAATCTCAGACTGTTTAAACAGTGGCTCTGTTGCTAATTGTCTTTTTTTTAACCCTTTGACAGACATGTACATTGCTATCGCAGTTTCTCTCCTCATGATCCTGATCTGTGCCATGGCGACTTACGGAGCCTACAAGGTGAGATGCCGGCCCTTTCCCTCGGCCGCTGGTGCATGTAAACCAGGGATGGCAAACCTTTCCAAGCTTTCAGTGATGCAAACAGCCCGCTGCGGCACGAGCACTGTAGGTTCACCACCACTGATGTAAACCGCGTTTATCCCCAGTAAGCAGGAAGGAATTCCTCCCAGGTTTTCTGCAAGACTCTGGAAGTTTAAGTCTAGCACTAGTATCACATGGTACCAGGAAAACCAATGAAAGCAGCATTATACTCTCCTAGACGTGTTTGCTGAGTTTTGTCGCCTGCTTGGGCGTGGCAAACCAGTCACTGTCTTGACCTGCTCAGTCTCTCTGAACTCAGCAACATCCTGCTTGGTCACATGGAAGGCACTAACCTCCTGTTTTCTCGTGTTCAGCAACATGCAGCCTGGATCATCCCATTCTTCTGTTACCAGATCTTTGACTTCGCCCTCAACGCCTTGGTTGCGGTCACTGTGCTTGTGTACCCAAACTCCATTCAGGAGTACATAAGGCAGCTGGTAAGCAATTTTCATTTTTGTCAGTCTGATTAAAGAAATGTCTTTTAATCCTGATATAGTGGCACACTTCTGTGATCCTAGTGCTCACGAGGCTGAGGCAGGAGGATTGCCATGAGATTGAAGTGAGCTTGGGCTATATAGTGAGCTCAAAGTGAGCCTGAACTGTATAGCAAGACCCTGTCTCAAAAAAAAAGGTCATTTGTAATTTATGCTTATGTGCTACTAACAGAGAATTCTCTAATTTGTGTGTGTGTGTGATGCTGGGGATTGTACTCAGGGTGTTTGCACTGAGTGAGCTGTATTGCAACTCTGTATTTTTCCAGACAAGATCTCACTGTTTCCCAGGCTGGGCTCCAACTTGGAATCTTCCTGCCTCAGCCTCCTGGAATGCTGGGATTATAGATCTGTACCACCTTGCCTGGCTGGCTTTAAACTTTTAAATGTGAATATTTTTCAAGGCTCTGATCCTCAGCATTACAAAAACTTTAAAAAAGTAAAATAAGTAAAATATAATCATAAAACCAGTATTTACATTCTTGTGGTTGTCCATTTTTGTTAGAAACAGCTTCCCTTTGTTTTAGAAAACAGGTCCTTGTTTTGGTAGTGCATGCCCCTGGGAAAGTCCTATGTGCCGATTTTACACATTACCTGCTGTAGCTCTGGCGGCATAGCTGAGTGTCCTGCAGGAGGGAACACGGAGTACCTGATGAGCAGGTGCAGAATCACCTCAGTGCCGAGGATGTCTTGGTGTCAGGATTTGGTGCTGGGTCCTTGGCCCAAGGAGGAAAGACTGCCCTTGTCATGTGAGGGCAGGGCTGGGATTCAGGAGACAGGAAGTTGACCACGGGTTCAGTTTGGATGGTGGCCTGCAGAGATCTCTTGGAGAGGGGAGGCCTCACAGTGTTAGCTGACTTCCTCCCACCCCATGGTTGCTCATCTCCATCCTGTAGAGCCACAAAGCTCAATGATGACGTTGGTCAGTGGTGTAAGATCAATTTTAAAAGACATCATCTACTTTTTTTTGGTAGCAGGGATCAAACTCAGGACCTTGTGCTTGCGAAGCAGGCGCAGTGTCACTGAGCTAAATCCCCAGCCCCTAACCATCTACCTATATTTGTAGTTGCAAGCCATTGACAGAAGTAAATGGTCTCCTGTGTGTTGTATTAAAGACAAGTGTAGGCTATTCATGAGGCTGAACGTCGTCAGAATCCTAACACAGTTGACACAAGTTTGTGTTTTTTTGGGTTTGCTTTGGTTTTCTTTTTTTTTGGTACCAGGCATTGAACTTGGGACCTTGTGCTTGCAAGGCAGGCACCCGAACCACTGAGCTAAATCTCCGGCCCTTGTTTGCTTTGGTTTTAAAAGTAGATCTCAACTTGCATTAAAAACCATGTCCAAGTTTGATTTCCTGTACCTCAAAAAAAAAAAAAAAGTCCACTTTTCTTGGGGAAAAGAATGTCAAGATCTTTGTAGAAAGGATAGTGCACTTCTTCCACTTGGATCTCTTTTAATTAGACCACACGAACAGTATGGTCCCTGTCTGTCCCCTCCCCGCCTTTAACAGTAGAGAGAATTTATTGAGAAAAAGATAGCTTCTGTCCAAGAGAAACAGAAGGGGGTCTCGAAAGTGGGTTCAGTGTCATCTCTTCTTGATCTTGTAAGCAACACCAAGCAGTTCTTACCCTTTCGGATCTTTTACTACAGAAACACAGGGTTTTATGAGCTGATCACAGAAAACGACTTTGATTCTGTTTCTTGGAAATTTTGCAACAAGTAGAAGATGTGAGAGCAGCGTTGAGAGTGGCGTTGCTCAGCAGCAGCAGGCATGGGTCTCAGGGTTGTCTCCTGCTCTTTCCTAGCTCTGCCCTGGCTCAGAGTTCTGTTCCTGCAGGGCACAGACACGGTGTGGGGTGGTGAAGAGGACACAAGTATGGCACCGGGACAGCCTTTTGTCACTTGCACCCCAGCCATCGAGTAGGCACAGGGCAGGCCGTGTGGGTGTGGGGAGAGCCCTGTCCTGTTAGCCATGGCAGGGTTGGATCCTCCAGCAGGTTCCTGTGACCTGTGGTCGGATGGCTGGACTTGACTTGTTTGACAGTGGTTTGTTCATTGCATTGCTTGGACCAAACCCAAAGCCTCACACATGCTATGCAAGTGCTGTACCCCTGACCCACACCCCAACCCAAAAGTGAGGACTCCTGTTACTGTAAGAGAACCTGCTCTCTGGGAAGAAGTAACATCACCAAAGGCAGCCTGCATCACCAAGAAGACACCATGATAATAGATCTCTCCCCCTTGCCTTCTGCAGGGCCCTTCGGAGGCTCAGAGCTTGCAGCAAATCCTGATAGCAGAGGTGTAGGGAATAGCCCTGATGGAGACCCCACATTCTCACTGTATGCTTGGAGGGCAGAGCACCATTTTCAGGCCTCGCCTGAGCCCTCCTTTGCTTTTCATTTTCTGGAGTTACTCCCGGATTAAGAACAGACCTGCCTCTCTCTGTTACACCTCTTTGGCTTTCTCATGAGTAGAGGTAGATGAGAAATTTTGTATTAGTCCTGAATAATAATTGCCTTACTTGTTGCTTTTTGGTAAGCCCATCTGAACTGATGCCTAAGGAATATTATCTGGATGACTGAGATTTGCTAATGAGGTCCTTTTCTTTTGCAGCCTCCTAATTTTCCCTACAGAGATGATATCATGTCGGTGAACCCTACCTGCTTGGTCCTTATTATCCTTCTGTTTATCAGCATTATCTTGACATTTAAGGTAAGCATTGATGTCTTACTGTTTTGTCGCTGCAGTACAATACCCAGTGCCCACAGCTCCAAGGAAGAAAGGTTTATGTTGGCTCATAGTTTGTAAAGGGCTTGGTCCATGGTAGATTGGGTCCAAGGCAGGGCAGCGGGAGAGAGAGACTCTTCCGGGCCACGCCACCAGGTTTCTCCTCCCAACATCAGATCCACCTATAAATTCATCAGTGGACCCATCCACTGAGAAGCATCACACCTCTGGGATCCAGCCACCTCCCAAAGCCCCCACCTGTGAGCACATGAGGCTTGAGGGGACATCTAGATATAAACCATAATACATGAAGATTTTAATTAGGGTTTAAATGTCATTAAATGTATTCCTGAATGGCACAGAGAAACTGGTCAGTTCATTTTTGAACTGCTTTTTGATTTCCTAACATTATAGTTACTTCCACAGTCTGTATGAGGGACACACTAAATGGAATCAAGACCACAGCCAGCCAACGGTTATTCCAAACTATATTTGGCTAGGAATAAATTAATACAGTGTTGTGCATTACATAGTATATAATACTGCAACATGCAATACAAGGTCCATGTAGTGGACTTTTTTTTTCCTTTGAGATAGGGACTTACTATGCAGTTCAGACTGGCCTTGAGCTTGTGGCAATCCTCCTGCCTCAGCCTTCTGAGTGCTGAGATCACAGGTTTGCGCCACCACGCCCAGCAGGCTTTGGACTTTTAACTCTCGTACTTTTCATTGCCTTTATTCTGGTATAAAATTGCCCCATTTTTCAAAAATCGAGCTTCAGGAAGCTGCATTTAGGGAGAAAAGTCATCTTAAATAGGTCATATGGTAAGAGCAGAAAGATAATGATGCACTGAAGAGGAGCTGGGTTACAGTCCAGAAGTGGGGCACGTGCTTGGCCTGCACAAAGACCTCAGTTCAATCCCCAGCACCAAGAAAAGCCTCCTCCTCCTCCTCCTCCTCCTCCTCTTCTTCTTCTTCTTCTTCCTATTATTATTATTATTATTATTTTGGCACTGGGGATCAAACTCGGGTCCTTGTGCTTGCGAGGCAGGTGGTGGAACCACTGAGCTAAATCCCCGGCCCTCCTCTGAACTTTTAAGTATTGTACATGTAGCTCAGTAGTGCAAGGTTTGGAAACATGTTGTCCGTGGATGTTAGGGCATGGAGTATGTACTGCTTGGTAGCTCCCATGCTGCACTCCATTGTCACTCAGTTCCCGTCACTCGGTTGACCCTCGTGCTGTCCACTGACGTCCAGCCTGGAGGTGTGTCCATCTACCACCTGGGCTGCCTGTAGACCTGGTGATACCCCCGGAAAAGGCCACAGATGTTCTGAGGCTCCTCTCTCAAGGGTAGATTCCCTCTTCCCTTCTGTCTGCTTTTTCCCCAACCCTGGTGCTGGGAATTGAACTCAGGGCCCTCACTTTGCACTACATCCCTGCCCTTTTTTATTGTTTGAGAACAGGGTCTTGCAAAGTTATTGAGTTGCCGAGGCTGTGCTCAAACTTTCAGTCCTCCTGCCTCAGCCTCCCAGAATGCTGGGATTATAGGCCTGCACCACCACACCCAGCTTGCGCTTGCTTTTGATCACTTGGTCATGCCTTAAAAGTATGTTTGTATAGTTCAGATTTTGTAATTTTTGCCTGCAGGAAGGTTACTGTGTCCTGGTTGCCTCTGCCACTAGCAGGAGCCCAAAAGCTGCGCTTAGGCTTTTTTGACTTAGCAAAGTGACTGTAATCCCAACACTTGGGAGGCTGAGGCAGGAGGATCACAAGTTTGACTCCTCTCTGGGCAGCTTAATGAGACCTCATTTCAGTAGATAAAAAGAGCTAGGGATATAACTCAGCGAGAAGGCCCTGGGTTCAATCCCCAAGACCATGGCCAAAAAGGAAAAAAAAGCGCCTTTTGATTTTGTAGACATTTTTGTTTGTATCAGAAATGCTTATCTTGGGTTCTGAGTCAGAGGACCTTGGGCTGGCTTCTGTCAACGAAGCTTCTAACCACAGCCTCAGTTTTGTGATTCACCGAATAGCAGTAATAATTAATAAACAGTCCTGCGGGGTGGCTGACTAAGATGATGGGTGGGAAGGTGCATCATTTATTCAGTGAGCACGGTAGTCCCCTCTCCATCTGAGGTTTCATTTCTTGTTTTTTTGTTTTGTTTTGTTTTGGTACTGGGGATCGAACTCGGGACCTTGCGCTTGTGAGGCAGGCGCCGGAACCACTGAGCTAAATCCCCTACCCATGAAGTTTCATTTCTTTATGAAAATGAAACCTCTTCTTGCTTACCAGTGGTTGAGCAAGGTCCAAAAAACATTAAGTGCGGAGTTCTGTATTTTGGCAGCATTGTCACAGCTGTCCCAGTTTATTAGGGTTCCTCTCACCATGCCTGACTTACAGATTAACTGTTATCATAAGTGTGTGTGTATAGGGAGCAGATGGGAACTCCAGGCTCAGTGCGTCCCCAAAGATAAGGGGTCGGCCGTGTTGTGGGGCTCGTGTGTGCCATGCTGTGTTCTAAGTGCTGGGCTTCAGTAGTGATGAGAAAAATCTCTGCAGTGTATTAATTGAGCATAATTGTCTCAAGCCCAGTGTGTTGGGGTGTGATTTTTATCCCAGCACTGTGGGAGGCTGAGTCAGGAGGATCACAGTTTTGAGCCCAGCCTGGGCAGCCTCGGTGAACCCAGTAAAATTAAAAGCGTGGCTGGGAATGAAGGCACCATACAAATGGTGGGCAGGGTCTCTAGCCTGAGAGAATGAGAGAAGGCGCTCTCCTCTTCCATGTGTTTATCTGCATCTCCGCCTCCTGCTCCGACTGGACTGTATTTCCTCGTAACACTCCTTGCAGGCACAGCTTCTCCTTCCTAGCACTAAGCTGCTGCCTCGAGCTCATTATTCATTCAGAGGAACACCGGGTGGGGTTGTGGCCTCCCGGAGCAGCTCACTGGATCAGTGGCTCTCACCACCTACTTTGCTTATCACCGCATCGATTTGGAGCCCAGACGGGACCTTTGTTAGCTCAGCTCTGTGCCAAGATGGAACAGGAAGCAGCCCCACTGCCCTGCTCTGCAGACAGAGGAGGGAAGGGTTGCACCCCTGAGGTTACTTGTGAGAGACATTAAACATTCCGTTCTCTAATCCAGGATTACAGAAATGCCAAACAAGAAACGAGGCCACTGAAGCATGTTATGTACTGTCCTTTAGAGTCAGCAGACAGACTTGTTAAGTTGCCTGGGCTGGGCTCGGACTCGGGATCTTCCTACCTGAGTCTCTCAGTGCCAGGGTTGCAGCGTGTGCCCTGTGCCCAACATTGCCATTCATTCTTACACCCACCCTCTCGCCCTGACCATAACTCAGCTGCCTTCTCTGGGCATGGATTAACCTGTTGGGGCATTTCACAGAAATGGAGTCCTGCAATATGTGGTTCTTTGCAGCTGGCTTTCTCCACTTGGCCTCACATCTCAAGGTTCTTCCATGTTGTTCCAAGTGTCCGTTTCCTCCTCTTCCTTGGGGAGTAATATTCCTCCTTATCCATCCACTGCGCTGTGTATCCACACAGCTGCTGGTAGACATTTTGGTTGCTTCCATATTTCATCTGTTGGGAAAAGCAAGGCTGGCACATTCACCTTCCTGTGTGTGTTTTCATTTCTCATGTGCCTCTCTGGGCAGGATCGCTGCTCTGTATGTCACTCGGTGACCTTGTGAGGTCTGCCAGACTTGGACGTGGCTGCTCCATGTCACATTCTCAGTAGCAGTATGGGCTTTCCAGTTTATATGTTTAAATTTCTTTTAATCAAAAAATTCTAAAGGCTAGAAAGGAATTTTGAAATAATTCAATTCTAATTCATTTACAGATGAATGCAGTCATGGTTTGAAACATTTCCCACAAACTCATGCTTTATTTCTAGCCTATCTTTAGTGGGGGACAGGGCTGGGAATTGGACCCAGGGCCTTTACACTGAGCTAGATCCCCAGCTCTTCTATTATTTTGAAACAGAGTATTCTTACTAAGTTGCCCAGGTGGAGCTTGAACTCATGATCCCTCTGCCTCAGTCTCCTGGAGTGCTGGGATTACAGGTGCATGTCATCATGCCTGGCTAGCATGTATGTCTTCATTTTGGACATTATTTTAATAAATATCCTTTTTGATTATGTCATTATGAAAATGGAAATGTTTTAGTGAATTTCCTGGACCATGAAGTAAATTTGTATGCTGTGAAGTTGATTTTTAAAAATTGACTAGTGTGGTAATATCACAGACAATCATGTAGAATAAAAAGTCCCAAAGAAACAAGAAATAAAATATAGTGATAAATCAATTAATGACTTCGGTTGTTCTGTGAGTTTAGGGGTGATAACTATTTGTGGTGGTTGTCCCTTTTGTTAGGGATCCCTTTTACCAGAAACCTGGAAGCAGAGGCAGGAGGATTGTGAATGCAGGACCAGCCCGGATGCAATAGCACGATCCTGTCTCTGAGAACAAAACAAAATGAAAAGGCAGTTTCTTCTTCCACTCTGACTTCCAGTCCCCTGCCCTTCTACCACCAATACCACCACAAGGCTTTTGCTTTAGTGGAGGCAGCATGTGCATTTAGTTAATGTAAATAAAAGTTTAATGATATGACTTTGTGTGTGTGATATTTTAAATTGTCTGTGTTTGGAAACTAAAAGTCTGATGACCTCTCTTTCAGGGTTACTTGATTAGCTGTGTTTGGAACTGCTACCGATACATCAATGGCAGGAACTCCTCCGATGTCCTGGTCTATGTCACCAGCAACGACACCACGGTAGGTATAATGTTACCGGAGAGCTCCTCACTCTCTGTGTGGTGGCTCCTAATGCTTCTGTGTCTGATACTTTCTCTTGGTGTTGACATTTCATTAGCTGCTTGCTTAGTCATCAAGATTCATTGTGAAATGAAACACATTGTTTTCCCTGTATTCTGTATGGCTCAACTTGTTTTTTTGTTTTTTTTTTTTGGTACCAGGGATTGAACTTGGGTCCTTGTGCTTGCAAGGCAAGCAACGGAACCACTGAGCTAAATCCCTGGCTCAACTTGTGTATTATAAAAATATTACAGATAGATAATATATATACATTGGCCATAGTTAAGGAGTCCAGTTGTTAAACCATGGTATGTAATTCTACATGTCAGTTCTATACAGTATGACTGTTTCATGTTACATGTGAAATTAAACCAAGAAATACAAATTTATACGTCAATAAGAATGGTAGAGGTTGCCATGTCTTTATAATTAGCCCTGTATATGAAACCTTTAGTCAAAGCAGGGCATGCTGGATATACACTTGTAATGTCAGGTGAGGCAGGAGGCTCACCCTAAATTTGAAGCCAGCCTGCGCTACATAGTTGAAGCCCAGCCTGAACTAAGGAGGCAGGCCCTGTCTTAGGGAAAAAAAAACAAACCTTGGTCAAAAAATTTAGATGATTTCTGTTCTACTAGTTGTTTTGTACATTAAAAACTTTTAAACCTATCAGGTATGATTTTATGGAACATTTCTTCACTGGAAGCATCCTTGAACTTGAACTCAGTTGTAATTTGTGTAAGTGATCTGGAAACTTCTTTTGTTAGATAGAAGTGTAAATCCCACCCCCCCAACTGCATCATCTGTATCTCACACAGTACCTGATGCAGTGTGTGGTTCAGGGCCCAGAGCGGCTGGCGACAAGGACGGGGGTGGATGGGACAGGACCGGAGAACAGGGTCAGGTCTGCAGACCAGGATGTGCAGAGTTTCTGCTTTATGGGTTTTTTTTTGGTACCGGGAATCAAACTCAGGTCCTTGCACTTGGAAGACAGGCGGTGGAACCACTGAGCTAAATCCCCGGGCCTTGTGCTTTGTTCTTTAAATTCTGCTCTCTTCCTCACTGAAATAGTTGGACCACCCTACTTTCTTGTGTATAAAGTGAGAGTAAGACTCTGTAAAGCTTTATGGTACTTGTGTGGGTGGGAGCAACATCACTGCATGCTCCTGGCTGTCGCCTGTCTCTCCCGAGTATTTCCCCGCCTGCCCGAGCGGCTCTCGGTCGGGTAAAAGAGCAGTGGCTGCAGAACAGACCCCGAGCTGCAGAGCAGGGGTGAGAGGCCTCTGGGATTTGCAGCATCTCTGCTCAGCCCTTTGAGGAATTTCTCTTGGGTCAGTCTCTTTTAAGAAGTAACGGCTTATAATTTTGTAGCTTTGAGAAAATTATTTTCTCAGAAGTTTTTTATTTTTCGAGGTTTTGGGGGAGGCATTTGTTTTAATTTTGAGATGCCCAGTCTGGGCTTGAACTTGTGGACCTCATGTCTCAGGCTCCAAGTGCTGGGATTTCATGGGCATGCGGCACCACTCCCGGCTTGTTGTGTTTGCTTTTATTTTTTGGGGGTACTGGGGATCGAACTTGGGACCTTCACTTGTGAGGCAGGCAGCGGAACCACTTAGCTAAATCCCCAGCCTTGTTTGCTTTTGTTTTTGAGACGGCGGCTGGCTTCAGCGTACTACAGGCTGGCCTTGAATGCTCTGTAGCCCATGTTGGCCCCAAACTCCTCCTGCCTCAGCTTCCAGAGGCTTCCTACCATACGTGGTCAGGTTCAAGACTTGCATTTGAGAAACCAGTGAAGTTGTTAAAGGAGATGTGTGAGCGCGTCCTCCTGGTTTCTGGTGTGCAGGGCTGCCGAGAAGTTGATGCCCACACTGCACGTGCTTGTTTCCATGTGCTTCTCACTGGGGTCTTTTTTTCCTAGGCGAAATTTTGTAGAATGGGTGTTTAGATTGTTTAAGAACAATGAGAAAGTCCCTACAATACACATCCCACCGGCTTTTCAGAGGAAATGATTACTTTTCCCTTTGAAAAGTACAAAACAGTTGTGGAGTGGCAGATCAGTTTTATTTAGACTTATTATGAAGTTCTTCACAGGAGCTGCCCTGGCTCTGGTACCAAGGGCCACCTGCTCCTCAGAATGCTTTCTGCAGGGTGGGCCCTGGTGGCGGCTGCAGGGACTGTTCTGGCCTGCTGGTGTAAGGAGGTTGGGGACCTGCTATTGGCTGACATTTCCTCAGCCATTTTGTGTGAGGCCGACATGTTTTAGAGGAGGAAATGTAGTTGCTGATAATGCACTGTTCTCCCAAAGTTCCCAGTGAACTTTTTTTGTCTTTTTAAAGCTTCAGTGTTTGTGTTCCTAGGGAAGGGAAGTTTATCTTTTCTTCGGCTTCCTCCATCTAGTATGACAAGATTTTTAGGCTCATTTTGTATTTGTATAATTTTTGCCCCAGGCCTGGAGGCTGCCGTTTTCCCAGGGAACTCTGCTTCCTTGTGGTGGATATGATATCTGGAGACCATAATCTGGAGGATACATAGTTTCTTTTTTAAAAGTAAGGGACCGGGGATTTAGCTCAGTGGTTCCAGCGCCTACCTCGCAAGTGGCAGGTCCTGAGTTTGACCCCCAGTACCAAAAAAAAATTTTGTATTTTATTGATTGATTGAGACTCAGTAGTTGGCTGGCCTTGAATTCACTGTGCAGCGTAGGCTGGCCTCAAACTTCTGCCTCAGCCTCCTGAGCACTAGGATTATAGGCATGACTGGCTGAATCAGAGGTTTGCATGTTTAAAGATTAGTTTGACTAGAACTAAAGGAGTCAGTGTTGGCTGAAATGACCTAAACTTGTTATTTTTCCTGGTTCCATGGTTACGATAAGGGTGTTATTTTGTATAATCATGTGTGTTTCTCTTTGTCCATCTCCTGTTGGAACCAATGTCATGCTTTTGCTTCCCCTCAGATTTTAGGCCAGATGGCTCTTCTCCCAGGCAGAATGGATTCATGTTGACCTCTGTTGAAAGAAACATACCGGGGCTCTTGCTGGTAGAAAATAAGTATCTTCCCTTTCCTTCTTTAGAATGGCATCCATGTTATTATCCAGATGTGTCCTTCCCAGATTCTGCTGACAGGGGCATGGATAGGAGTTATTAGATATTGGAGACGATTGCCGGGATGAATCTCCCATCCAGTTTTCCAACCAAATTAGTCCAGAAACCTTGGTGTGAGTGTAGGCCAGAGTGAGAGCTGCAGGCTCTCAGCTCATGATGCCTTTGGGGTGGAATGATTTTTTCCACGCTGCCCTTAGGCCATGAAAATAAATTCCCAAGTGGGATTAAGTAGTTGTGCGTAGATGCTTAGTGGTCGCAGTTGGTGTGGCAATGCAGGCATGTAGCTGCAACTGTTGAGAGTTCGGGCCCCCTGTGCAGGTGGCGCTCTTGCTGAGGGAGGTGCAGAGTCCTAGGGTGGTGTGTGTTATATAACCCCACATTCTCCTGCTGCCGTCACATGTGGCTTTAAGAGGAAAGGCCCATTAAGACGAACATCTAGGTTGGAGAAGGCAGATTTCTTTCATATGAAACTCTATGCAGATTGAAGTTTCAAAACTATATCAGTGCAGCCTTGCTTTGCTGATAGTAAGATTTGGGCCGTGGCAGTGCCCACTATTTTGTTAAATCTGAAAGCTGGGAATCTGATTCCTGTGGATTTGGGGCACTTGAAAATCAATATTAATATTTAGCCAAAATGGTATTTTGATTCCAGATAAAAAATTATAGTCTTGGATGGTATAGGAAAATTCCTAACTGTTCTTGGAAAAGTAAGAAAAACCTGAACTTTATGGAGTCTGTTATTCGATGTCATAGTCAGGGCTAATCCAGATGAATATTAAGTGCCAGTTTATTGTTGTGAGTTTAGAAGTATTGCTGCATGGGGCTTGCTTTCAGGTCGGGGTGCTTGAAAACCACAGTGAAGAAGGATGTCCCTGGCGAATGAAGACCCATGATCTCCCTGCAGCCATTTCCCATTAGTTTCTTTGTTTTCCCGGAGGTTAAAGATGACCTTGGCCATCGAGAGGCCACAGAACAAGGCAGTGGTTGACTAGGAAGGTTTGGGGTGGCATTTCTAGGCGTCTCAGTGACTTTCAAATACTTTTATTTTTTCCTTTCAGCTACTTAAAAACCAGGTCAGGTTCTTTACTTCCTGGTATAAGGTGGTTGTGGTTCTTGATGGTGTGACACGAGTTCTGTGTACTTTTGCCACACAGCAGAGAGACGGAGGGGGAGGGAGTGAAGCCACTTGTAGCAGGGGAGCCTTTGGTTGGGCCTCAGAAGCTCTTTCAGGCCCGAGAACCGACTGCTGCACAGTGACCAGGGGTGGCTGTCGCGAAGGCCTTGCACACCTTCCAGGATGGCCAGAGGGGCCTTTGCCTGAAGCGCAGTTGCAGGATGTTTCCTGCGATGGATTTCAGAATTATGGACATGAAAAGTACCTGGCCAGAGAACCAACTTTCCATATTGTCTTCTGCCTAAGGGAACCGACGAGTCCTGAGGGAGCGGAGGGAGAAGGGAGAAAAATCTCCAAGTCCCAGAGGGAACAGTGAAAACTTCTGTAGAGTGTGAAACCCTCACCTGTGATTAATTGGCTTTGGTGTTTCTAACCTATTCAATTCTGTGACATAAAAAGGGAGACCTTATTTGTAATAGCTCAGATTTAGGTATCTCTTTTCCCTTATAATTTAATAGTTTATGTTACCTCTGTAAGTTTTTTCTTCCTTTGAACGTAAAAGAGCAAGAGAAGTGTGAAGGTTTGATGCTGAGAGATCAGAGGTTGGAGAGGCGGAGGCCATTGCAGGGGTAGTTGGGGATTGATTGACAGGAGTTGGGGTGATGTGGCCCTTGAGGATCTCTCCTGAGTGCAGCTGTAGTGCCTTTGATGCCCTCCACTATGTGCCCACGGTGTCACCCTGCTGTGGGCT